CAGAAAGCCAGAAGAGACCTTCAGAACGACAATCAATGTTCTTGACTAAATTTGTTTCCAACAAAAGTGCAAAAGAAATTCAATGGAGAAAAGATCACCTTTTCAACGGTGAGGAAAGGGTGGTCTGACATCGGGGTGTGGCGGGGGGACTGAAGTCTCTGACTTTATAAAAAAAAGAATCTCAAAATGGATCTTAGCTGTAAGTGTAGGAGAGAGCTTGTGGGAAAGGCTTTAGGATCTAGGGTAGCTGGGCAGAGTTCTTACACTTGACATCAAAATCATAATCCATAAAACACAAGAATGACAGCGTTCATCATGAACACATCTGCTTTGGAAAAAGGCTTTCTAAGGAGACGGCAGGACAGATTACAGAGCAGGAGAATTGCTTGCAGAGTGCATACCTGACAAAGGACTAATGCACACACTGCATGAAGAACTCCCCAAACCGAACGGAGAAACAAAGAGCCATCCAATTAGAAAGCAGGCCGCAGATGTTGCATGACATGAGCAGAGAGAAAACGAACACAATGGAAGGTGCTAGCTCCTTATCCACGGGGCCAGTGCAAGCGATCCACAGCAGGCTACTGCATGCACCTGTCAGAAAGACCAGCGCACAAGGGAGACAGCAAATGTCGGCAAGGGTGCAGAGAAGCTGGGCCACTCATCGCCGTTGGTAGGAATGTAAAATGATAGCCGCCACGGAAAAGTCTAAATTTTTTTTTAAAAAAAGGTGTTATTTTGTTATTCAATGATGTGTGTGCCTGAACATGAATTGTGAACTCCCAGGTATGGGTGCTGAGGACCAAAGTCAGGTCTGCCCTCTATGAGTTCTTAACCACGGACCTGTCTGCTCATCCCCTTGACTTTTTTTTTAAATGTAATAAAAATAATCTCACCGCATTCATTGTCACCTGATAATGACACAAGGGCCACTAAGACAATATGAATAAATGTTTTGGGACTGTGCTCCCAACAGAAGACCCCTTTAAAAGCACTGCACTTCCTCTTCGACTTCTCCAGTGCTTGGCAGCCTCTAGCTGGAAACACTCTGGAGCAGAGTAACAGCTTCTCCTTTTAGCATGATCTGACCCAGTTGTTTTGTTGACTTTGTTTTAGAATGAATCTCTTCTGCATCATCTAGCACAAGGTGCACGTACTCATCAAAGCCAATAACACACCCCTCTATCCGCATATTCATTTGCTCATACAGTCAGACCTGAATCCGAGACCTCTTTTGCAAGTGATGAAAAACAGTGCACTGCTTCTGAGATCGAGAGACTGGAATGGGAGAGAAGCTGAGAGGCAGCTTCCCAGCCCCAGCAGTCACATCAGGGACGTGATGAGGTGCCTGCCAAACCCCACCCAACTCCTTCTCCTTCATCTCTCTCAGACACTCTGGTCAGCCTGGGGGTTTGTCCTTGGTGACCAGGAAGTGCTGTTGCTACCTGCGAACGGGTCAGATTAACCCTGACCTTTGCTCCCAGCCTGCTCTGGTCCCTAATGACAGCAGAACTCAACGGTTAAGCTCCAGCCAGGATCTCCAGGGTCGCGAGTTAAAGGTTTGTTTTTGACATTTAGCATTAACACAACCCTTGGCAAAGGTTGCTGTCACCAAGGGCTCTGTTGACAAGAATAGCTCCCTTATCAGAAAGTCGAGGTAGGAGGAACTGGACACCCAGGACAGCCACCCAGTCCCTTCCCCTGTGCTTCCTCTCCTCACTTTTAAAACAATTTAAAAAAAAAAAAAAAGCCACTTCCTAAGCTGCTTTTGGGGGAGGGGGAGAATCATTTAGGTAATTTTATTCAAATTTCTCCCTGTAATTCTTTGTATCTAAACTCTCATTCTCCTGTCTCTAGAAAGAAAGAAAAGGTAAGGAAGGAAGAAAGGAAATGTTCCCAAGGCTGACAAGTGGCTTAGCAGACAGTGGGTGACGGTCCCTTCCGAAACACTGCCTCTCAGTGACCAGTTCACACAGTGAGAAGCTTAGTCTGAAAATGGGTACACTGAGCCACCGACGGAATCTGGCCCCCACTCAATTTCTCTCCATTGTCCTCCATTCCCTGCCTACACATCTGGTCACTATAGTCTTGAAAAATACAGACAAGTTTTAGCTAATGTCCTTAATGGAAAACAGCCCTGCCTAGAAGAGGATATCCATAAGGCTCCCAGAAACAGCCTAAATGCCCCTTGTCTGAAGAATGGATAAAGAAAATGTGGTCTATTTACACAATGGAGTACTACACAAAGAAAAAAAAATGACGTCTTGAAATTTGCAGGCAAATGGATGGATCTAGAAAACATCATATTGAGTGAGGTAACCCAGATCCAGAAAGACAAACATAACATGGACTCACTCATAAGTGACTTTTAGACATAAAGCAAAGGAAAAATAGCCTATAATTCACAATCCCAGAGAACATAAACAACAAAGAGGACCCTAAGAGAGTCTACAGGGGAAGTAGAAAAAGACAAAATCTCCTAAGTAAATTGGGAGCGTAGGGCTAATGGGAGAGGGTAGAAAGGGCAGGGGAAGGAAGGGAGGTGAGGGGATAAAAATATATAGCTCAATAAAAACAATAAAAAAAATCAAAAGACTCCAAAAATTACTTATTCCTGGTGCCTGCTAGGTGATCAACTGGATGCTGAACTGATTCTAAGTAACATTCAGAAGTGGGTGGAATTCTAGCATTTATTTCAGGGGCTTGGCCCCAGAAGGCATGCAGAATCCCAGCACCTTAAACATGAGTGGAAACTCAAGACTGGGCATCCTGTTGTGTGGTAACCTTCATCACAAATGACCATAACAGCCTTAGAAGGCTCCTCAATTGATGGACCAGAAACCCGGTCACACAATTGCAAAGGACCCCAGAGGGACCTTGCAACTCATGCATCATGTACCAGAGGAAGCAAGGCCATGGGACCCACAAAGAGAGGTGTTCTGCATGCTCAGCATGTGGAAGAAAGACTCAGGGAATTCTATAGTGGGGAATCTTGCTGAGAACTGACTTTATAGAGAGTAGGTATTTCCAGCTTCGGGACAGCTCTGGACAGAGGGGATGACCAGCCCCATCCATCTCCTGCCCTCCCCCTGTCTTCTCTCCTCCCACAGCTGACCTGCTTGCTAGATGGAGCATAGAACGCACTCTTTTTATGCTTAAAACAGACACACTCTTAAGCAAGAAATGCTGCTTCTGAGTGGTCAGCAGTTGGTAGCTGTCTTGGGGAGGCGATGCCAGGGTACTGGGCTCTTTTCTGTTGGAAAGCTAGGTAGTAAGTCCGGGGAAGATGGCTAGGTGTTGTTGGAGGATGAAATTATTTCTGTGACGGTTCCTCTTTCAACGCTGGTCAGTCATGCTCCCAAGCACACCCTGGGTCATACAAATCACCCTGGAAGCAGAGCCTTCCCCTGTAAGACTAGTACATGTTTAATAGTCTGTGATCCCAAGGGGTCTAACCAACCCTTTTATGTCAGAACCCAGTTCAATCCGCTTCCAAATTCCTACAACATCACTCTGTTCTATTCACCTGCCAGAGCCTAGGAAACCCTGGGATGGGATTTAAGACTGCATTCACCTAAACCAGGCACCATGTGCGGCTCCTGCCTCTAATCCCAGCACTCCAGAGGCAGAGGTTGGCTGATCTCTATGAATTCAAGGCCATCAACAGCTACAGAGTAATACTTGGTCTCTCTAAACAAAATAAACAGCGATGGGGGAGACTGTGCCTAAGCAAAGGCGTTGGCTGAGTAGATTAGAAGTGCCCTTTAGGGCCCAGAGTTCCTTATGCTTTCCTTCCTCCTAGAAACAGAAAAACCAAACTCCACCATACAGAACTTGTGTCCAGGTTAGCATCCCAGATCCATAAATACCAGCAGCTTTTCCCGACTTTCCCACGTGGGAATGTGCTCTGTGAACTAGGCAGCTTGCTTATGTTAAAGAGTAGGTATGTACAGTTTGGAGTCAGACGTAGATGAGAATCTCGTGTCATAAGCTGTGTGTTACAAGCAAGTTACTCCTCCTCCCTGGACTGCCGTTTCTAACCTGTAGGATAGGATTGGCAGTTCCTGCTTAACCTAGAAGAATCTTAGAGTTTTTGGTAAACATGCATGTTCCCACTGGTCATCTTGTATTTGAAAGGGTCCCCAGTTTTTAGTACAGATACTGGGCAGGCTAGAACCTCCTACTTCCCCTTGTGGGTATCCTGTGGAATTTTGAGGACCCAGCACTGACCAAAGTGGGTTCCACAGCCCCAGGATAGAAAAGCCCCCCTCCCAGTGGCCTGTCCTGGCATTTGAGAAAAACCCTGACAGAATCAGGGTCTGTGGAGCAGATCTCCAGGAAGAAACACCGTCAGGGAAAGACAAAAACAAAAAATACTATGACAGTATACTCGCCCTCCTCAGCTTTTATCTTTAACCTTTTCTTTTTTTCTTTTCTTTTCCCTTTCTTTTTGAATACGGCAAAGATGTTTTAAAAAGAATGAAAGCATGTAAGTAGCGGCCAGCGCACGGGGGCGGGGTGGGGGGGGCGCGTCTGGCACCACAAGAGAGGCTTCCCAATTTGACCAGAAATCAGCTGAAGCTGAGAGTCCAAGGTTCAGGGGTTCGCCCCACCTGGCTATCTCGGCCCCCACTTGAAGGTAGAGCTGTGACTGGGAGCAAGGTTCTCTTTATCTCCTCCCACAGCCTGGTCTGTCTGGCAAGCCAAAGATGGAAGGCTGTTTCAGGCGCCCAGGTATCCCGGTCTAGCGCCGAGAGCAGGGGCGTTTACAGTCGTCGGGAGGCTGGACTCCTCATCTCCCGGAGGCCAGCTGCTAAAGCCAAGCTTGGGTTTGCTGAACTTTGGACCTCGGGATCTTGTTCCCATCCCATCGCAACCTGGCAGGCTCAGGGGTGCAGAGCGGTATACGCCTGCTTTCAGAACCGAAGGACCCCCGGTCCGGTCCGGCTTGGGGAGTCGCTGGGCTGGGGAGGGACTCAAGGGGAAAGGAGACAACTTACTTGTAGAGAAGGGAGCTTCTCTGAACCCCTGGGGCTAACTTCTGGTAGTCCTTCCTAGGCGGTGCAGGTGGCGCTCAGGGCTCTCCCGGGGATTCCCTAGCCTCAGGCATTGCCGACCTACTGGCAGCTGCCCGCTGCTACTCAGGAGTCTCAAGTCCTGCGGGCAGAGGCGTCTGAACCTCCCGCCCCTTCACGGGTCTGCCTCGCCCTTCTAGCTAGAGAGAGCGGCAGTAGGCTCTCCGCTGTCCTTCTCCTCCCCGCCCTTCTCTGTTCTCCTGCCTCATCCCCTCCCGTCCCCCTGGGCTCTCCTCCCTCTGTCCCCCTACAATTGAATCTCCGGAAAAGAACACGATTTAAAGGGCCACAGGCAAAGAAGAACAACAAGGAAAGACAACAATGTGGGAAAATGCATGCACAAAGGGGCAGATAGTGGAGATGGGTGGGGGCTGTTGGTATCGGGGTCGCAGTCACTTGGCAAGGAGTCGGGTGCTGGAGGCCTATCGGAGAGAGCTAGCAGCCTCCGCCCTACTGTCTTGCCCACTGCCCCGCCCCCCTCCTCTCCTGGTTCGCCACCTCCCTCCTGGACCTCCCTAGTGATGTTCCTGTGTTTCTAACCACAGACCTAAACGGACTAATGTGAGTTTGTGAGAGCTGCCCGTGTACATGTGGGAAGGCTCGCGTGTATATGTGTGTATGTGTGCTCGCTCGCGTGTGCGTCCATGGATGTGTGTGTGTGTGTGTAAGCGCCCCCGCGAGTGTGTGAGCGCCCGCGTACCTGTGTGTAAAGGCTACGGAGGCGCAGACAGAAGAAACTCTTGGGGCAGAAAATGCAGGCTCAGAGTCTTGCAGGGACTGCGCAGTCACTCTGGGGGCGCTTTGAAGGGGGGTGTTGATAGAACTTCCGTGCCTTTCCAGAGACCCAATGCAGCAGGTGGGAACATTCCTAGGGAAGTCAGGAGTCACCGTCCTGGTGGTACCTCAAGCTGTATCCCAGCGCTGGCGAGTTTGGCTCCTGTAGTGGGACCAGATTCTGAAGGTCTGAACCTCTGACTGGAGGTGAACGTCTAGAGAAGAGAGAAGGAAAGGGGTTTGTTTTAGGGCATTCTGCTTAGGCGCCTTCTCCCAAGCAGCTGTAGCTAGGTGGGAATGGCAGGGAAGTGGCCTTTCATAGAAGGACAAATGAGACCTGAACCACCATCGGCTAAGGTGGGTGCTTTGCCTCCCACTGCCCCACTTCTCTCTTTGTCTCTTCCCAAAGGCTCTTTATATAAAATATGAAGAGTGTAATGTCGTTTCTGAAATGAAGTCCTGTGCACATTGTTGTATTAATAAGTATGCTAACGACAGCTGTGCGATAAGGGTATTGATGGCACGGTCCTGAATGCCCATGTTTCATTAAACACCAAACCCACCACCTCCCGGTTCTTTTCTTGTACATTGTTCTGTAGCCACATTCTCTGCCTTTGATCAGATCTCAAGATTTGATTTCCTTTTCTGTGCGACTTTCTCCACATATATACTCCGTTGGCTGCTGTTCTGGAGGCTGAGCGTCCTTCCGGGATCCATTGTTCGTCTCTACACAGCCCCATCCTTCGCTGTGCTGCCTGAAACGCCCACTCTTCTCACCCCTCTTCTGTGCACTCCTGGCCTTGAGCAAAGAGAACTCTATTCTTCAATCCCTGTGACCTGTAGGAAAGACAGAGCTGTCACTCTGCGCAGGGAGGGCTGCTGTCTGGGAGAGCCAGCAGGTGACTATCTGCTGGTGCCTTCAGGGGAGCCTAGAGAACTCAGTGGTGTCAGCTCTTCCCCATCTCTGTTACCCAGCCTTTGGGGTTAAACACCAGGATATCAGGCTTAGAGTAAGCGTTCTTTGGCCCCAAAGGCAAACACAGCCTGCCTGTGTTTGTGCATCCCTAGGCCCTAGCTTCTGTTGTTTACATATTTATCATGGGAGAATATTTATCATGTGAATGATGGCCATGACAAGGAAGCTGGTTTATTCCATGACGAGGAGAAACATGCCTGTCACTGGGCCTGAAGGGCCCACCCAGAAACAGAGCTACGTGCCACCAGGCCAGCGCTTGCCCCTGGTTACTCACTGTGGCCTACTCTGTTAGTCAGGAAATCTGTCTGTCTGTCCCTTGAGGGACTTTGACTGTCTTGTGCTCATGTCATTGTCCTGGTTAGTTTGACTGTTGCTGTGCGCAGCACTGTGCCCAAGGGCTGGTTGAGGAGGACAGGGTTTATTTGACTTATGCTTCCATACTGTAGCCCATCACTGGGGGAGTCAGGACAGGAACGCAAACAGGGCAGGAATTGGAGGCAGGAGCTGATGAGGAAGCCATGAAGGATGCTGCCTACGGGCTGGCTCAACGTGGCTTGCTTAGTCTGCCTTCTTCCTAATAGATCCCAGGACCACCAGCCCAGGAATGGTACTACCCACAGTGGGATGGGCCTGCCCCATCGATCATTAATAAAGAAAATACCCTACAGCCGAATCTTATGGAGGAATTTTCTTAGTTGAGGTTCCCTCCTTTCAGATGACTCTAGCTTGTGTCAAGTTGACATAAAGCTAGCCAGGACGACCATTGTGTGCTCGTTGAATACTTGGCAGGTTGTATTTTGATTGTCATGAGAAGCGTGTTCTCTGAGATCCAGCTAATTAATGCGCACTTGAAGCTTTTGCTGGGTCTCAGCTCCATGTTCCACTCTGCAGCAGCAGTGGCCTTTGGGTTAGTAGAGAGAACATGGTGTTCCGTCTGCCTCTTGATGGGACATGGGAGAATTTGTAACAAAACAGGGTGGTGTGGGCAGAACTGCTTTGACAATATTCTCTCAGTGCTGGGACCTTAAACCAGAGACAGAAAAAATCTGATTGAATCTCTCTCTCTGTCTCTCTCTCTCTGTGTCTCTGTCTCTCTCTGTGTGTGTGTCTGTCTTTCTTTCTGTCTCTCTCTCTCTCTCTCTCTCTGTCTCTCTGTCTCTCTCTCTCTTTCTCTCTGTCTCTCTCTCGTGTGTGTGCTTAGCCTGGGCCTGAAATTGAGGTAGGAGTTGGTGGGATTCTAGTCCTGACTAGTGTTCACAGATTTAGGGTGTGCTGGGCTTCTCCAGCCCATGTGGGGGGGAGCACAGATGGCATTTAAGGACAGGTGACACTCTACTCAGAGAGCTTGGAAGGTGCTAAGTGTGTCTTTCATCGTCTGGAAATTAGTGAGAGGTACAAGAAAGTAGCAGAACTGGTGTGTATTCTCGCCGTTAATTAGAGCGCAGGCCCACTTCCTCGGTCCTCTTTGCTTCTCTTCCCTTCTTTCACAAACAGGAGCTGAGTTCGCAGTTAAAGTTTTTCTCTTTAGCGTATGACACTCAGAGGATATAATTTTTCTCCTATTTATAGAAACTGCATTTGCATTTATGAGGCCGGTAATGTCTCATAAATATTTCCTGCCAGATAAAATATTAATTAAAAGAGTTTGTTGAGTTATACTCTGAAATCCTAACTAAATCTCTTCTAAGACAAATATTTTAAGTCCTTTTCTTCTCAAGCTAGGAGACTCTCTCATACATCACCGTGTATGCTCATAAGCTCTCCAGCATCAGCAGATATCAGACCATGAAAATTTTCTCAATATTTGACAAATAGTCAGATGGCATCTGTGCAGTTTACTACTGAACCCCCTAAAGTAATACATCCCTTTCCCTCAAGAATTTGCAACCCGAATTTGGCTTCTGTCTTAAGGTTTATTTATACTAAAATTGCATGCACACACACACACACACACACACACACACAGAGAGAGAGAGAGAGAGAGAGAGAGAGAGAGAGATCTATCCAATCTGTGGACACTGACCATGCACACAGCAGCTCCTCCACATTCTCTATTATACTTTCTCTGGCTTCAGTTACCTGCAGACTGCTGTGGTCTGAACAAATCAAATGGAAAATTTTGGAAACGCTCAAATTTATAAACTTTAAATTGCACATAATTCTGAGTAGCATGGTGAAATCTCACATCATCTCGGCCTGTTCTGTCAAGGCCCAGGCTGTCTGCCCTGTAGGAGGGACCACTCCCCGGGCATGTACTTGGTAGCGAGCGCTAATGTCAAATTGTCCCTCCCTTACTGAATAATATCTCTGCAGCAGCAGTGTAGTGCTATAGGCTGCGCAGACCCCACAGCCATAAACTCATTCCTATCGGTGAAATGGTGAAAGTTCCCAACTTCAGAAGGAAGACTTTTCATTTGCCCAGGGTTGGCACAGTTTTAATAGTCAAAAACGCGACTTCTGTCTGTGGCCCATCAAAGAAGGGGAAAGAGATTTGTGCTAGCTTTGTTGTTGTGTGAGATGTGGATCCCATTGTGGTCGATGGATGACATGTGCTTAGTTCGGTTGAAGAGGGAAACCAGCAAGTGCTCAATTATTCGTGGGGGATCTGGGGACAGGCAGAGGTTAAGGGACTCATGAGTTTCACATTGACCAGCGGGCCTGCCGTGCGGGAGACGCCCTAAGAAAAGGTAACAAGCACAATAGACTTGGATCAGAAACACCTCCTATAGAATTGGGAGGGTCAGCAGGTGTACAGGGAAAGTCAGCCTTTTAATCAGGTTCTAATTCCTCCTGGATACTTGGGTGATGGGGTGGAACTGATCAGAATGCTAATGAAGCCCGGAGAGAGCGCCTGGCAACCAACTGGGGCTGACTCCTGGCTGCCCAGGCGAGGAAGAGAACAAGCCTGGAAAGACTGCTAGGATTTTCACAGGACAGAGGATGGATACTAACCAGAAAGGGCCAGGTGAGCTGCCTGGAGTGTGTGGTATCAGGGAGGGAGGTGCTACAGGGATTTGGGGACAGGACCGGTGGTGGCAGATTGCAACTCACTGAGTGCCTACTCTGCTCTCAGCGTCGCTGGATGCTTCCTGTAAGCCATTGCCTGTCATTTTCTCAACAGTCTGTGAGTAACAGACGCAAAGGAGAATGTGTCCTCCCTGCTGGTGCTGTCCTCAGCACTGTCTCTGAGTTCTTAGCAGAACCCACCTTCCTTAGATTCTAGAATCACCGTTTCTAATTATGATGGACTGACCTGTGTACCTACCAAATACTTAAGATGAAATCCTAGCCCCAAGAACCTTGGTAAGTGACTGTATTTGGAGACAGGGCCTTTAAAGAATTGATCGAATCAGGATGGGGATACTGTGGTGAGCTCTAATCCAATCTGGCTTAT